AATTTAGAAGCTAAAATATAGAAATAATAAATATTTTTGTTTAAAAATGATATATAATAAATAGTATAATAAAGAATTATATCAAGTTACAAAAGACATACTTTCAACTTCGACTGTATAGGCAAAGAGCAAACCGAAAATTGCCTAATATCTTGAAAAGTATTTTCCATCTGAAAAACATTAAATACAATGTTTACAATTAAAACTTTGACTTTAAATTGTATTAATAATTGTACTCACTGAAAATGCCAAACAGCTGAGAAGAAAACAGCAAAGGAGACAAACAAATGTTAACAAAACAATTAATCCGAAAATCACGTATTCCATTGTTTTATTCATTTCTATAAACAGGTAGGAGTAATAGGAGAAACTGGTTCCTGATACAAGACTGCCGTATATAATGACACACATAAAACTAATTTTATTGTTGAATTGCGAAATAAAACCCCACAGTTGTTCGTGATGATCCATGAATTCTATCAGTTTCAAGTTCAGATTCAATTGCTTTCTTTTTAGTGATGCCAATTCTTTTGATTGATGTTGAAATTCTAATATCGACACGACTATAAGTGCAGCATAGAATAGTAGAGCAAAAGCAATTCCTCCAATTATATAATTGATCCATAATGCATATTTGATGCTGCAGAATAATGCTTCATATTCAAAATACCTTGCATTGTGCCATAACGGATATGAAATGAATATATTCGTTAATGTTATGATAAAGATCACGATAATCACAATCAATGATACTAGTAGGGAAATAAGATTGACTGCCTTGTTTACCCTTACATTTTGGAAAATATCATTTCTTAATTGAATTTGTAAACAAATTTTGTTGCGTTTGACAAAACTAATTGTTAAAGCCACAACAAATCCTATAATTAATGTTACAATTTTGACCATATTCAACGAATTTTTGGCTGCTGAATAAGAACCAACGCAAGGAGCAATTTGCTTTAGAAACGGTACGTGTTGCCAAGTTAACATCAGAAATTGAATCCAAGCTCCAATTTCGATGATACCAAAATACCATTTTTTTAATACTATGAGAATACTGTGAATTGGTTTTTTGCTATGGCAACTGCAAGGAATTTCCAGTTCCAAACTGAACAACAATGCAAAATTTAGTATGGGTTGAATAAAACAATTTAAGCAAACTGTTCGTGAATTCGATATCATCTTTAGTTTTGAATGTACAGTACATAACACTTGAATTTGTTTCTGAGAAAAGTTTGCTAATATTGTACTGTACACGTATGTCTAATATCGGTGTGCAACTTATAGAATACGGCTGATTTTGTATTGAATTCTTTTCAATGACGTTACATACACGATAAATTTAGAATACCACTACTTGGGATTTTTCAAAGAATATATAGATGAAATCTATTGCGTAAAATGAGTTAATAAAAATCCTCGTAACGTTCGTTATATGTAAACACAATTAAAGCAGATTTATGGTCGTTTCTTATTTGTAGAGCTAATTATGTGTTATATAATGTAAATATGAAAAGAATTTATGAGATATTAATAATAGAGGTGCAATAAATATAGAATTTTTTGTGTACTGTACATCAGCTGTTTTCAAAACGACGCTTGACTTTTTCCGACATCGTTATTGTGGGGACTCGAGGGCCGTCAAAAATAAGACTATGCAAGTTTTGATAGGGCCCTGCCACCAGATGTGTTTTGTCTGACACATCTCCGAAAAAAAAAAAAAAAATAGTTAAGTTGCGAGGGAAAGAGTCACTCAGAAGTCCAGGAATGAGCCTCTCAGAAGGATGAATGCAAAGTAGAAATAACAAAGAGAGTTTATTATCGAAAAACAAAATTTTAAAACTAAATTATAAAATCCGTTTAGAAAGTTTGCCTACTTCTATCTATATAACGGTGGGGGTACATAGCAGGTGGTATCCGAACTGCGCGACTCAGAACATAGGAAAAGAGTTGTCTTCTTTTCTCTCTTTACTTTCTCCCCCTGTGCGCTTCTCCTTTACTCAGTCTCTCACTCGGTCTTTCACTAGGTCCGTCTCTCACTGGGTTGTTCCGTTCTCTAAGTCTGACTGCCCGTTTATTGCTAAGTCGTTCCTCCCCTGTCCGGTTAGTCAGTCAGTCTGTTGGTCCAGTCTGGTAATTTCGTTACTTCTTTCTACTTTAGTCTTCATTTTTGACCAATTATGCTTTTGATCCGGAGAAAGGTGAAGTAATTTGTAAAAAACACGATTGGTTATCCAGTGGTCCTCCTTCTCTCTTGTCAATGAAGAATGATATGCTTCTATGTGACATAGATTGAATATCATCAAAATTGGAAAAGTAGGCGAAATTCCTTTACAACGTTGGTTGATAGATAAATATATATATTCTCGTGTTATTATTTGCATTATTTGTAAAACTTTAATTGTAATCACTTTAATTCTTTAGTTAATGGTGTCTGGGGGAAGGAAATAGTGAGCCTCACATTATTTGGCTTCTTACCAAAATCTATAGTTATAATTGCGATGGACATATTTTTGTAAATATAAAAAAACAAATCAGAAATTGCTTTGTAATAAAACAGCAAGTTGCATTTATTCGTTTCACTAAACTAAAAAGCATTAGAGGAGAAGGTGGTATTATGGAACACTGCAGGTATTATGGAACCACCCCATTTCGAACTGATAATAAAGGCGAACTGTAGCGGAATGTGGCTGAACTGAACTAGGCAGACATTCATAGCAAGGGGAAAACCTGTTTTACTTCAGTTAAACGGTTGTCCGCATTTAATCAGCAAATTTGTTTTTTTTTTTTTAAAATTCGCAAGTTTTGAATGCTAAGTGAATTTAATTATTTTTAAAATATAAATCGTGTAGTTGTAGGTTCACTGGTGCATGTATTCCGTTCCAGAGACTTAGGGGTACATATTAATCTGTGTGATGTTCACGTTTTTTAAATTTTGGTCTCGACAGACATAAGTTAATTCGAGATGGCGATGCGTGAAATACGGACCCCTTTGGTGCTTTTACAGTAATATGGAACTCAACTCCTCCGAACTCTCTCTTTGCAATCAGACATTCGTCCGGAGCAATTTGGGAAAAAGACACTAGGTAGAAAGTCTGAAAATATCGAAAAAGAGCTGCTGGAATATATATTGTTGATGGAGGTCATATTTTTCTATTATAAAAGCATTTTTGCGATAAAATACATTGGAGTAAATAATTTTGTAATTATTTAACATTTTTTGTCCTTTCCTATTTGTTTTTGGCTACATTAAAGCATTTTTTTGAAAATATACAGTAAGGTTCCATATTACCACCCGATTTTCTCTAAGCCTACTTTCGGACTTTTTGTACAAAAGCCTTCAAAAACCATACTTATAATTACACTAGCGAAAAATCCAATTAGGAACATTTAGTTTACTAGTTACCAGTACTTTTCGCACAAAAAATGTAGGTGTAGTTATGATACTTCGTTTACAATTCACTAAAATATAATTGGGGTTCCATAATACCACCTTCTCCTCTATAACATTTATTATAAAATGTAATCACTTACATAACATACAATCATATTATTATTTAAAAACTTTTAAGTTTGATACTTTTCATAAGAATGAATTTTTGTAATAAATTAGATTTATGTTTTTAAAATTCTTAAAATTATACACAATTTATGTTAAGGTTTTCCTTGGTATGATTACATTTTTAATTGGGTTTTTTCACGGATTTACATATTGTACACTAATGAAAATAGCTCATATAGACAGACATAAGCGAAATTAAACCATTTTTAATTTTTATTTAAAATATACGTGAAATACTTAAAAATTCAACTCATCTACATCGACATAACTTCGCGACATTTTTAGATCTAGTGACATAACATTCAATTAATGCACGAAACTTCGTCAAATAGTTTGCCATCACTTTTATATAAGTTCATATGACCGAAAATAAACGAAGCATTTCCTCGATCTTTCCATCCACACAGGATTTTCCCCGTTGAGGACCCATTCAAATAAGTTCATTTGTACGAAGATTTGTTCCAGCTATTTAAACAGTCAATGCAGGTTTATGATACTTATAAATTGCGTAAAAGGAATTATTAAATATTTAATTTACTTGTCTTACGTTGACATAAGTAAAACTCGCAAGGATCATTTTTGTTATGATCATACATAAGAATGTGCAACAAGAGTTTTTCAGAGATCTTACTCTACATCCCGGTGATGAAATGCTCTGTGATTTAATGAAAAATTCAGATTCGGGTCAGTGTAGAAATTCTTTGTGCATTGCAGATTTCTCCGTATACGCTTTAAACCAGATGCTTGTCGATATCCGTGACTCACAATTCGGATTCGGCGTTATGCCACATATAACGGTCATTTCAATCGTTTCTTCTTTCTCTTCTGATACTAAAATCGGATTTAAGAACTTCGGAACAGCATTCACATAATTTCCTGTCATGTGTTTCATATCTACACAATTTTCAAGAAGTGCTTAGTGTACCGGTACCAAATAAAGTGGCCACTCACTGTGTATTGTAAATAAAATGTACTGACAGAAAAAATTTGTAGATATGTCAATTTCCCAAATTGCTATTACATGAAAAATTTATTTAGTATTATTTTTTAGAGGTATCGGAAAAAACTCAATTCTGATAGTAAGGAAAAATGTTTCACTAATGGGAGATTTTAATACGGAATCGTAATGCTATCTTTAGCTTTAAAATGTGTTTTGGATAATTAAATTTTCAGTATAATTTCTTATTGACATTTCATTGCATATGTTTGGATGGTGGGAAACGTCCCTCAGCTTCAGCAATCCGGAGTAGACGGAATGCAATGACTTAGCCATCTGCAAATACATTAATATTTATAGAGAAAATAGTAAAAGTAAAATCATGGCCGACGTTATTTAACATTTAATAAATATGTTTTTCTTTTTTACATTTTATTAAATATTAATATTGTTCATGACATATTAATGATTGATATATTGATATGTAAAATGCGAACTTACCCTGATCGGAAATCTCTTATTAACATAAAAATAACCCATTATTGAAATTTTCAATGCCACTTTTCCAAATCGTTTCATAAAATTTAAGATCTGAAATAAACGTATGATAGATATTAATTTTTTAAAATCAGATTTAATTAATATTATAGCATTTAAATGAATGACCAAGAAACGTACTTTCAATTTCGACTCTAGAGGCATATTGCAAGCCGAAAATTGGCGAATCTCTTGAAAAGTAATTTCCATCTGAAAAGTATAAAATGTAATGTTTACAATTGTAATTTTGTTTTATATTTTTTTAAATTTATACTCACCGAAAATGCCAAACAGCTTACAAGAAAACAACAAACAAGACAGGTGAATGTTGACAAAACAATTAACCCAAGAATAAGATATTTCAGTACTTCATTCATTTTAATAAACAGGTACATGTAACAGCAGAAACTAGTACCTGATACTAGACTGCCGTATATAATGATAATCATGAAATTGACTTTGTAGTTGAACTGTGAAATAAACTTCCACAATTCTTCGTGATGATTCATGAAATTTTTCAATTTCAATTCTAGATTCAATTCTTTTCTTTTTATTAATGCCAATTCTTTTGATAGGTGTTGAAATTCTAATATCGCCACGAATATAACAGCAGCATAGAACAGTAGAGCATATGCAATACCTCCAATTGTATAATTCATCCATAATTCAAACTTGATGCTGCAAAACAACGCTTCGTATTCAAAATTTCTTGTTTTGTGCCATAATGGATATAAAACGACGCTGTTATGTATTGTTACGCAAGACATTACAATAATAACAATGAATGATACAAATAAAGAAGTAATGTTGACTGCCTTATGTACCATTACATTTTGGAAAATATCATGCCTCAATAGAATTTGTAAAGAAATCTTGTTGCGTTTGATAAAAGTGATTGTTAAAGCACCAACGAATATTATAATTAATCGAACAAATTTGATCATCATTAATGAATTTTTCACTACTGAATAAGAGCCAATGCAAAGGGCAGTTTTGTTTAGAAACGGTACGATTATCCACAGTATCGTAAGAAATTCTGACCATGCAAAAAACTCTATAATATTACAATACCATTTTTTCAATATTTTTCGAATATTGTAAGTTGATTTCTTAATTTGGCAGTTGCAAGGAATTTCAAGTTCCAAACTGAAGATTAATGCAAAATTTTGTATTGGTTTCAGAAAACAGTTCAGACAAACTTCTCGTGAATTCGAAGTCATTTTTAACATTAGATTTAATTATATGGTACTAATTAATCTTGATCAATAGAGGCAAGAAATGAAATGTCTCTGTGCAATTCATTGAACAGTTTTCACAGTGCCTTAACGAAAATCTAATGCTGTAGTAAACTCTGATATTGATTTCATGATAAATTGAAATGAAATGAGAAATTATACTTCTATTTTAGGAATTCTTGTAATGAGTTATATTCCTCTTATTAATAAATTAATAATTCGTGGAAGTAAATTATTCTAACATGATATTTGGCTTACATAATAAAGTAATAATTCTTTAAAATTGGATGAGTTTAATATGATAATACATATACGAAAATAAACATGACAAGAAATGTAAATTAAATGAAAATTTATATTTCATTTACGTGAATTACTTCAATATAAATTATATGTGTTTATCGTTCCTTATTTTGAAATAGACTTATCAATTATACAAATGATATGAGACTTAATATATTAAAAATGAAGTAAACTTCACTTTGCTATTTGCATTGTCATTTAATGAAATTTCAACTCCAAAACTTAATTAGTGATTTCATAATAGTTTAAGTACATATTGAAATTTATTTACTTTATAAAATATGAACCGAATTTAAAAAAAAAAAGTGTGCTGTGCTTTGTTTTCCATTAACTTCTGTCCTGTGAATTGAATTGGCTTGAATTGCCCCGCCACATGTTGGCTATCTGCCAAAAGCCGACTTTCATGGTCAACTGGTACTTATTATGAAGTTTCATATAGGGGTAAGGGCGTAGCCAGAGTTTTGTTATGGGGGGCTAGTAGAGGCCAACCTGACACAAAATTAAATTATTTCAAATTATTGTTCATTAAAATGAAATTTCCATAAGAATCGACAATAACTTAACACACATAAAATATGAAACTTCCTTTAATCATACGTTCTCGTAACATTAATATCAATCTCTAGCAATGCCTAAAACAAAAATTAATCAATCAATTATTTTTTTTAACATTCTTTAATATAGTTCACCGTCTTTAATCTAGATATAGATCAGAGGTGGCCAACAGTGTTTTCCTCCGGGCCGAATTGGAAAGAAAACTTTTTCCACTGTCCGAACCAGAGGCGGCCCTAGCAAGATTTTCTGGTGATGGGAGATCCTGTTGTGGCGTCACTCCGTAGAGACTAAACTGTACATAGAGATTACAGATGCACTTTTCACATTGAGCACAGAAAGCCGTTGACCTTTTTTTTAGATTAATTGCGGGCCGCGGTACACTGCACCCAATTAAATTAACTTCAACTTTGTATTTCTTTTTGCAAATCGGCTCAACACTTTTTCGGCTGTGATTTTCTGGGGAGGGCACCAGGTTAACTGGGGGGCCGTGCCCACCCATGCCTCTTCCTGGCTACGCCCATGTATAAGAGCAAAAATCCAGGAAACTCTGAGTTTGCCTGATGGTGAGGCGAGAACCCCTGATTAATTTTCAGTGGCTTTATCAACTCGGCCTCAGTTGACAGTTTATAAAAAGTTATTTTCTTTTCGTTCTATCTCCATTTTCGTTCTGACTACGCCTCCTGCCTCCTCCAGAGTTGACACTCTTCTCTTGTATTGACTTTTTTAACTGAGTTGTCTCTTTTTTTTTTATTTGACTTTCATCTCTTCTCGCCCCTTTTGGTCATTCGCTTTTGCTTTATTTTTTTCTGTTTATGATGACTTTATTCCAGAGGAATTTCATATAATGAGAGATAAGCTTGATTGGTTATTTTCAGTCCTATTTTTGTATTGTCTAGTATAATTTATATGTATTTACATGACGTAGATAAAGTAACAACTGTCACTTTACATTAATTGAAAGGGAAAAACGGCAGTGATCTCCTTGCTCTTTTCCTCCTAATGTTATAAGATTAATGACAACTCATAATTTTTTTATTCTAATTTGTTTTGTATTATTATTTCAATTTACATTGCAAATGTTTAGAAAAGAGGGACCTTAAAATTGAAAAAATAAGCGAAATTTTTACTTGATGTAAACACCCACGATGTGTGGTTGTTTCCGGTAATTATCTATCGTTTTGATAAACAAACAGACAGAACAAAAAGAAAAGAAATATAAAATACATATATAATTTAAAAAACAATAAAATATCTAACTTATCATTCAAGAAATTACATTATTACTTTAAAATGAATTCATTAAAATAAAAGTTATACAAAATAATGTAATAATAATTTAAGAACAGCTTTTAGTTGTGAATATTTTTATTTTAATGACGAATATTTCTGCATATATAAGAAGAGATAATGTTTTATTAGCGCAAAAATCACGCAGGAAGATGGCAAAGCATTTCAAAAAGCCCAATGTTCTATATGAATTTATATAAAAAATAGTGTACAATTCTTTATCAACTACAGTTGTCCAATACAGTTTAGTACAACACAATTGAGTTCTGTATAAAAACAATCTTCAATATATGAATATCCACATTTTACAAGAGATAATTTTTAAAAGGTGTTTTCATTTACTATATATCACTTAAATCTTAATGAGTGATGGTGTAATAAGTCTAGAGAGAAAGAAAAAGCCGTTATAGTGCTAGTATAGTTGTACTATATATCCACTTAATAACCATAGTAATTGTACTTCTACCTGTAATGAATCATTAAACAAACGTGCATCTTGTGTTGTCCCGTTAATAAAATATTTGTGAATTCACGAAGTTGTCTAATGATATTGTTCTAATGAACGATTAAATAAAACATTCTTATTCAGAGGTAGTGTTTCTTTAGTGCAAAATGTACGAAATCGCCTTTAAAGTAGCCAAATTATTTATTCGTTAAAAATTTGTGTTAATAATAGGACAGAGGTGTTTGTTTTCTATACTTTAGAAACTACTTTATTACAGTACCATTGCATTGGCTTTGGAATGGTAAAATTGTTGACAGCTGTCATGTTAAAGGATAGAAAAATTTATTATATTCTTTTAATAGTAAATAGCTTGTTTTGCCATATTTAGATATATATTGAATTTATTAATTATAAAGTGAAATGAATATTGAAAAACAATAGTTTGTCAAGCAAGATTTTACTGTGATTTTTATCAATATTCATTTCTTTTTTGTGATTCATTATTTAATTGATCATTTCAATATCAGAACAAAATACTCTTTAATTCTTAAAATTTGAAATGTGAAAAGTTTTTTTCTAAAAGAAAATTTGAAATAGTTAGATTTTTCATTTTTAATTTAAGCAGAACTTTGACAAATATGGAATTTTACCAGACACGTGAAAATTTGAAGTTAGAGAATTTGGAAAACAAGTAAAAAAATACAACTCATTTACTACAGGAAAAAATCCAGCCATCAAGTATGATAGTTATTCGTATGATTTTCTCTAGGAGTCTTTAGATGGGAAGAAGGGAAACTGTAACCGTAATTCTTTTTTATACGAGGATTGCTTTCTGTCTTCCTGAAAGATCTGTATGGAGTCGACTTCGAATGCGTTGTATGGAGATATCTTTATGTTGAACTTCTTATATGGAGGAATTTTATCCTTTGATAATTAATCTATGTCCAACTCTCTGTCTTCTATGTGGAGAACCACTGTAGACCCTTCTCTATGTGGATCTGGTGGAGAACTCCTGGAGTTCAGGATGTGCTTTGCTATATTAAATGTTACTCAACCAATCAATATATGAGCTTTTCTGTCGTCAACTGTGTGTTCAGGGAGGAATGAAGAGGGTAAAAATGCAGATGGTTGTCTAACTTTTAAGATAAGGATTATGTGAAAGGAAGTTTATTTCCTCCCTGTTTCACAATGACTAAAGTTACATCCATTTTTTATGAATAATTATTTATCTAAATGTAATATTTTGTAATATTTTATAAAAATTAACCTCCTCAATTCGCGGATCTCACAATTTAGTTCATTTTCAAGTGTCGGAAACGATATAATTAATTAACATCTTCTCGACACAAATTCAAACCAGAGCATCAGACGAGAGGTGGTATATTGCATAATTTTCCAGAACAATTCTTAGTGTAGATCAATATATAAACCTATATAAATAGGTATGTCAGTAAGGAACTGATTAATTAAAATTTTCTCACAAATGATCATGATGTACTATAAAGTACGTTTCTATTTTTCTTCTGTCATTAATATTATTAATTATTTCTCTGAGAACTTCGGAACGATTCAGTAATTATTTACGAATCGTACGTTTGTAATCATTTACGAATTTTTACTTAAATCTATTACAGAACTATCTTTCAGTAAGATCAGAAAATGTTGTTTACGAAATTTAAAATCAGAAGTATCTAATGACCTGAACGTTCGCGTGAAGATCGACTGAGGATTTTGGAAATAGGATCGGGGTAGTGGCAGAAACTTTGAATATTTTTCCGAGAAAACTTCATTAATTTGTGTGGAACCGAACGAATTTTAAAAACGTCTGGAAATTATAAAAGAATGCAAGTGAGCTGTATATAAGCTATGCAAGAATATAGATAAGGACTGTGAGTTTACGGAGGAAACTATGAAATTTAGTACTGTATTTTATTGGTTAAATGTTTTTAAATTTTTGAAATAATCAACAAATTTAATCATTTTATTAGGTTATATTTTCATGTTCTCTATGTCTTAGGGATTCCACAACTTCATTAGAAAATGAGTTGTTCCACATAAGGCATTAGGGTTGTTTTTTTCCAGTCTACGAAGAAATCAGTCAGTGAGTCTATCGTATACAAAATCAAATATGTAAAATATTCATATAAACTTTGATAAAGAAGCATTGAAAATAAATGCCGTTTATACAAATCTGTATTTCATGTTTATATCTTTATCAATAAAGAGTAAAGTTCGTTTATATTTTCGATAACTGAAGTCTATATTACGTAAATCACCACTCGATACTTGAGTATGTACTGTATTTGATAAGAGTATCAAAATTATATCGATAATAATGACCTTCCAAATACATCCAAGATACAAATAGATTAAATTAAATAATGTTTTATTACATCAAACAGACAATTAAAAATATAAATTATTATTCTATTGATAAAATGTAACTAAACTACTGATTGTGTAAAATGCAAATATCATTTTCTGGATAGGAAACAATTAATATGGTCGTTAATTAACAATCGATTGTTTCTGTATAGTAATATGTTGAAAGGGAACTGAACATTCATTTCATGTTGTTGTATGAGTAGTGCTAGCACTTACACAGATGGGAGTTGATTAGTTTATCGTATTATAGCCAATATAAAATTAAGAGAATGGATGATTAATCGTTATTTGATAAAAATTGAAAATACAGAAAAGTATGTTGATGAAATAAATATTATTTGCTAGTTTATTTGGTTACAGTAACGGAACATCCAAGGGGATGCCTTCCGGGAGGAAAGGGGATCCTTTTCTGGGAATTGGCCCCTATTTTGGTGTTACAAACGTAAAACTCCTCTTGACAGTTGAGGCACAAACCTACGACCAACTAACTAGCCAGTGTTCAGTGGTATTATTCACTCAGTCACTAGTATATTATCTTTATAATTTTATTCACGATTGACTCTATAATTAATTATCTAAATAAGTAGCTTCGTCATGCATTTGTTATATTTTTTCATTACGAAACCTACAAATGCACATAAAAAAATATCTTTGAAACAAACAGAAATATATAATATTACTACATATTTTAAATAATTTATAGTTTATTTTCAATTCTATTTGCATACATTTGAAAATAACAAAGATAAATTACTTTTAAAATGATTTCAATAATCCAATTCATAATATTTCAGGTGTAGACTAGCATATAGGCTACAAGTTTTACTTATTAAATACATTAAACATTTGATTATTATTATAAATTACTTCGTACAGGCAACAAACAAGAACATGAATAAGAGAAAATCGCGTACTAAAAATTCGCAACTTGTTTTCAGTATTTTTGTTATTTTTTTAAACTGTTTAAACTTATACAACAGTTGAAATCGTTGTGGACTTTATTCTTATGTAAACTGTTATATTTTATTACCTGATATAAAGTTCAAATATTTGTAATAATACGCGATAAGATCTTGCTTAAAATAACTTGTTTCCTATTATCATAGTGAGTAAATAGCTGGACACTTAACAGAGAATGCCGTTGGTGTTTGGTATAATTTTTACATTTATTTTGATCTTGATTCTGTTGAAAACGTCAGAAAGGTGCAGTAAAATATGGTTTGCAAATGTTCACGAAATCGTTTTTTATTATATTATGGAGTTTTTTGTCGGAAATCTAAGAAAACGTTGCTTACGAAATATAAAATTAGAAATTTCTAACGACCCAACACGTTCTCGTGAAGGTCGACTAAGAATTTTAGAAATAGGACCGGCAGGTGGAAGAAACTTTGCATTTTATCCCGAAAAGAGTTTGTTAATTTGTGTGGAACCAAATGAATATTTTCGGTCGTTTTTCAATCGAAAGAAAGGTCAATTCGAAAGTCTTCATTTGGAGAATTTCTACTGTACTGGAGCAGAAGATATGAATGAAATAAAAGACGAAAGCGTGGATATTGTAGTAAGTACATTTGTACTTTGCTCGGTGCAAGACATGGAAAAGTCCTTGAAAAAAATTAAAAGAGTTTTGGTGAAAGTAAGTTTATTTTTTCTTAATTTCATAAATTACAAATGTAAGATTTTAAACTACGATTTGTATTTATTATTATTTTAGAAAGGGAAATACTATTATTTAGAACACGATAGAGACCCCAATCATTTGATTCGGTTCTTTCAAAAATTGATCGAACCTTGCTGGAGTCTTCTAACTCACAAATGTCATCTTACTCGACCTATCGGAAATTCCATCAAGAAAGCAGGTTTCAGTCAAGTGGTACAAAACGATTCTAGACCGTATTTCTTTATCTTTGTACCTCAGTATTTTATATACGGTACTGCTGTCAAATAACACAACTAATGCATCACATTTTTAGATTATTCCTTACTAAGAAAAAATTGTCACTTATTAATAATATATGCTGATACAATAATTAAGATTTAAAAAATGTTCTAATTTCTGTGATTATAGTTTCGTTTTCGTTTGTGTTTTAAAACTCAGTAGACCAAAGCCCGATGCCGCGCAGTGAGTAATAGTAACATCGGGAAAAATACGCATTGGGAAATTGAGTTACAGTGTTATATAAAGTAAAAAAACGAAAAAATATTTTATAGTGTCCAAGGGCAATTTGCTCCTTTCTATCTCAGCATGCCAATGACTTAGAGTCTAAAACCACAGAACGTTCTTTCCCGCCTCATTAACTCATAACGAAAAGTTTTTCAAGTTTTTCCACATATCTGATACTTAAATAACAGCCAATTTTTCGTAGAAAATTTTGTCGAGTGAAATCTCCACTTGGAAGTTGGCCCATGTGTTGAAGTGCCTTATTCTTTCAATTCAATCCAAATGAAATAAACATTGAAAGCACAATTATGCTGTCAGATTATGCTAAATTTCAATAATGGTAAAGATACTTTTATGTTGTAGTTATCTCAGAAATTTTATTTGTAGCTTACTTTATTATATATTACATCCTTCAAAATGCAATCGCATTGTCAGGGATGTAGTATATATATCCCGTTCCAGTATTCGACATACTCTATATGTCCTGTATCCAAAGTAAAATCTTCAACAACGTATTCAACAATATTATTAGAGCCAGGGCCAGCCTTCTGTATAAAGGGGCCCGGGTGCAAGAAACTATTTGGGGCCTAAACTTCTTGTAAAGTAAAAAAAAATTACAAACACGAACATATATCACTAAAGCATGTTTATTTAAAGCGTGATTTTGGTTTTGCTAATACATTAACTACTTCAGAAAAATTACAATTTTTTGCAATTTTTTTTTTCGATGCTTAATATAGCAAGTGCATTTAAGCGTTCATCACACATGCTGGACCGAAGATAATTCTTTATTAATTTTAATTTGCTGAAAGAACGCTCATCACTTGCTATAGTAACTGGCAACGTAAAGAAACGTTTTAACACAGTTAATACATTTAGAAATAACTCATTATAATTATTATTTAGTATGTATTGCAATATGTCTTGTGCGTTATTTACATCCCTTTCATTCAAAATCAAATCCCGTAGCAAACCAATTTCCTGGATTAGGTTTTCATC